CTCTCATTTAAGTTAAAACGTAAAAGCTATGATGAATAGAGCGTATTTTGTCATGACAGTTCGGTCTCTGAACACGTGCACGCGGTTGCTGCGCGGCGGCTTCGCGGCGACTTCGCGGGCGGCGTGAGCGCGATGAGATTTGAGTCGAAGTCTTGCCATCGTCAATTTGCCAATCGGCGTAAGGTAATTGCTGATTGTTGCCTAGGATGCGCCAGACGTACGGGAAAGGAATAATATGTCGTGTGCGGTGGCTCCTTCCGAGAGTTTCTTTAATTGTTTTTTACAACGCAAAAGTAAAATTTATGGACAGCTATGGTAAATTATTTGCTTACTTGACGAAGCTAAATGCCCATTTCTATGTCAGGAATACGATCATTGCAAACACAATCTGCGAAAACCACAGAAATCTAAATAATAATTAATTTCTGTGGCGAAATCGAAACGAACAGAACAGTTGCGTTCGCTGTCATTCATACCGCCAGAGTTCGCACCCGGGAATTCCCGGTAACGAATTTTTCCATTAATTTATTACATTTTTTAGTGCCGGTACCGATGGCGAAATTCACGGAAAATTCTCGGCTAAACTCGACTCATTCAATTATCCATCCAATCGTCCTTAGTTTGATTATATTCAAATGAAGTTGAATACATAATTGAATTAGTATAAATAACGACGTCGTGTAAAGTTAAATAAATTCTTATTCTTTGAATTTAAGTAATATGTAATAATGTTAAATTTAACAAGTGATGGAAACTGACGATGAGATCGACAATGGAGCACGCATACCCACATAATGCCTATTCACTCTCGCCTTGAAAAAGCCCAAGTTATGCCGTTCACGAAACAAATCTGCAAGCAGCAAATTCCGCTCCAGTGCCATACGCTGTATAAATGTGGAAGTGTAACACTTCGTGCAAATCTTGATTACCCACAACATAGGGGTGAAACCCTAGCCGACGACGAGAAAGGAAATAATGGAATAATTTTATGCAATTCTGTTGTCGAGATACAATAACTTATATATAATGCGTATGTCAAACATTTTGAACCATTTACCAAGCACAGCGCTAAATAATATCGAGGGTAATATGAGGAAATGTAAAACCATTCTAAACAGACACTGTCTGGGTGTGTAGTATCACTTGCAAATAATACATGTATAGTACTTATTTAATGGATGAGATGAATGCTATATTCCATTTACTTAATTTAAGTATCGAGCCTGTTAGCTCATCGCTACCTGGTTAAACTGAACTTCCGAAGGACGTTCTTTTTGACCTGTAAAGGGTCCGAAACGTTGGTTTGCTTGAAAAAACAAATATACGCGATTTAAATCCGGAAAAATAGTTTCGAAATCGCAAAAACCTAAGACGTCGACACGTTCTTTTGTTCATACATTTTGAGTGTTGGTTTCACGCCTTTTGATTTAGTATTTAGTATTATTGCTTCATATACTCGTGTGAAATGAAATACCTATACTTAATTTCTGTAAATAGGTGTTTCGATTTTATCATATTATAATACATTACTATTTATAAAAGTGTCTTTGTTCATTGTTTTTATCAAGTGATATTGACTAAAAGAATACAATGAATTATTTTCGATAAACTACGTCACAATCCTTTGGAATTTATATATTCTAGTATCTACCTATCATATATATCACAATGGATAAACGAATACTTAGATTTTCGCGATTGTTACACATAGGAAATGAAACTATTTTTTCGGATCTTCATCGCGTATCTTTTCAAACAAACCAACGATTGTCTCAGCCTTTACTGGTCCCATGGTCGCTACTGACTCAGTTGTGACCATAGGACCTGTAAAGGGCCTGAAATGACAAAACAAATAGGTATTCGAGATTTAGATATGAAAAAATAGTTTCATTTCTTAGATACAAGAATAGATTTTCATCTCAACATAACTCGAATATTAAAATACATTTTTTTAGTATTACTATAGCTGGCTACTGTAACAATGTCATCATAAACTTTGCAACATTTGAGACGCGGGCAAGACAAAAAGTGCACGTCGAAAGAAATCGACAGGCAGAACGAATCCCGAAGAGCACAAAACGTCAAATGCTTTAGCGAACCATTGCACTCGGTTATTGCAAAACTTTACTTCTTGGCTGCATTTTTTGCTCTTTTCATTAACGAAGTCCAGATTTAATTCTATAACCTCAGGAGAAACTAAACGCTCAATGCACATTGAAATGTATTAAATATGAGTACAATATAGACAGTTTTGTATGAAAAACTCTTTTCTAGAATACCCTATTGTCCTACAGAGTATATAGCGCTAATTTTGAATGTGATATGCATTATAATGAACACTGAGCTTTTATTTGTTCATAGGAATAATGTAGGTCTGAATTACTTCACTTACTATGTACATTTTAATGTAAATACAATAAAATTTTAATCAATTGAGTAAATATTTTAAAATTACCCAAATAAATAACATAAGTAACCTTTGGGTTACTTCGGGTTACTTTGGGTTACGTCTTAATTTTATTTCTTTAAATATTTCTTTCTATCTTTAAGGCTTTAATATTCTGTATAAATCGGATGTCTGGGACCCCACGACACAGGCTTGTCTAGTGTGGGGACCGTGATAATCATGATTTTTTTTTATGTTACCAAATGACGGAAGGAACAAGTCGTCCTTAACAATTGCATTGCCGTTCGTCTTTAAATCGCAAAGATCTGACAGGCAGTGTCACTGCGCCCATTACCCTGAGACATAAATTGACTAGTCTCATATGCCTGTAATTTCACCAGCACCCTTACCTTTCAACACCGGGACGCAGTAATGCCTACCTTACTGCTTGCTGGCAGGCAAATAGGTAAGTGGCAGTTGTTGTTATCAATGTCAAATCAATTTTATATTATTGTTATTGTCATTTTAATAAGAAACGAAGTACCATTATACTTTCTGCAGTATATGCGACTAGACATACCTACACGCTGTCTCGTGTGTCTATGCGTGGGTACACCCAGTCAATATCACGAGAGCCCTTAGTGAGAGTGAAAGGAATAACAAGTGGCGACGAGGATGAGATCACTTGTTCTGTTTGCTACCTTTACTGCGAACATTGGCTAGGGACCGTCATGCATAACGTAACACCCCGTCCACTCTAATATGTATATAATGTTATTACATTAATCTATATAAATAATAAACAGAATAAAATTGTTTGCGTCAGTATGTTATTATATAATAACGCAAATAATTTTTTTCTTCATCCTGTAAAGTTGTCCAAAATGAGATAGTACCAATTGCCAGTTCACAGTCGATATCTAGAATCAGCGAAACGAAATCTACAATCCCCTATAAGCGGTTTTATTATATCTTGTTTAGTTTCAGTTTTAGGCTAGGTCCAGATGGACACACACCTGCCGCGCGTCGATGCGCGTTGACGCGCGATGGAACGTTTAGGTGACGAGAAGCAACGCGCGGTGCGCTCAAGTACTTTGCAGTGAACGATAACACGCGGTCATCTGTGTAGCGATAGGACGAGTCGTATTTTTTTCAACTCGAGTTACTCGAGTTGACGTGTTTGCTACCTCGAGTTAACTCGACTCGGTGTCTCACAGAGCAACCGCGAGTCGCGAGTAGAACTCGAACCGACGATTCAACGAGTTGGGCACGATCGACTGCAACACGAGCATGCTCCGAAGGTCTGAATGAAGTATTCGACCCGGCGGGAACTGCACCGAGCTAGCTCAAGTTCACGAGAAGTAGCTCGAATTGAAAATTTGTGGGAGTAACTCCAGTTAAATAACTGAACTCGCCCATCCGTCGCGACTCGAGTGTGGTCACCGAAAGAGTAGCCGCTGCGCATTGCGCTGTATGAATGAAGTATACGGCTCGACGAGGCGGGTACCGAACCGAGTTAACGCGAGTTGATAAATAAGTAACTCGAGTTGTGGTTGTGGGAGTAACTCGAGTTAACCGAGTTAAATAACTGACCGCGTAAATTTCTTCACAATTTTGTATGGCATATTATACAGCGCCCCTAGCGATCACAAGAAGAAACAACATTTTGTATGCAAACAGGTACACTGTCAGTGCCTATAATTTTTGAAGTATTTTTACTGAATGCAGCGGGACGTGCGTTACGCGCGTACACGTGACCTAGTGTGAGCAAAATATTATGTGAATTTCTAGACGCGCAATTTGAATACGCGCATTAAATTACTGTCATCTGAACTTACACTTATTGCTAAACATAAACAGCGTAATTGATACTTTTCAAATAAAAAAATATACGTACCAATATTTCGAAAATCACCAAAATGCAAATGGTGTAATACTTATTTCAAGGAGGGCAGAATAATACGACATAATTGATTCTAATCTATAAGCGAAACCTTTGTGAAAAACGACATAAATAATAAAACCATAAAACAATATTATTCATCATTTATTTGTTGATAACAGTCTAAAAATTACTTTGCGGCAGCGAGCTAAAGTTTTCTTACTCATGCAAGACAAATACTTATTTACAATAGCTACATGAAACATTGTAACAATACGTCCCATAAAATAATGACTGATACAACTACTATAAAACGCCGCTGTATATTCAAATAGTTTTATCACAATCTACAAAAACATCGTAAAATTTCTGTTGCAATCTTTGGCCATATCCTATTTGTATCCAACTAACTTTTCACTTTACGAAATTCTACATTATTCTAAAATCTTACATTTCAATTTTAAAATTTAGCAATATCTCTTCAAAAAATAATAACTTATACGTATAATATCTTTGGAAGTGCGAATTATTGTCAAATTCGTGTCGCAATTCAAATTCCTGTAAATAAAGTCATAGTACAATTATATTTTATTATTAACATTAAATTGTTATTTTAATGTGTTATCATAGTATAATAAGACAAGCCTGGTAACTCTATACAAACGCAGCAGCGCGGTATGTATGTGTGCACGCCCGCCGCGCTTCGTGTACAGACATAATAATAAAAAATAAGTATAAATAAGTTCGCATAATAATAAAAAGCGCTTGGGACGAAGTTATGCGAATGTGTGCATCCGTATACAATACGCAGTGAGCGCGCGCACATATAAGCCGCGCTGCTACGTTTGTATGGAGTTACCATACTTGTCTTATTATACTATGGTGTTATCATGTACGTAAGTAATACTCTTTCGTGGCGTGGGTATTAAGGCATGACACGTGTGTAATACGGCAAAGTCCCTCATTCGCAGTACCACGTTGTACTGCGGAATTTCTTTTCGCCCGTCCGTCGAATCTCACCCGGCACGCCTCGGAGAGAATTATCTGTAACCAAAGAATAAATCCATGAAAAATACCCGACATTTTCCACTCGACAAACACGATACTTCTGTCAACACAAACATCCATTGTGAGAAATTCTATTCTATTCAAATTCGAGTTTACATTTATATCCTTGAATATAAAACCACACAACTGTAAACAGAAGTCCCTTCAGTAATATTTCTGAAATATGAATAAATAGAGAACTTGAAATATTCACTGGCACAAAACACACGTATAAAATAATGTAATAAACAAATACATAGAAAGAGAAGTATATAAATAAAGAACATTGTAAGACAAGATCCCCACCAAAACAAATGCAAAGGCAGACGAAAACCGTGTTGTAAATAATTTTGGAAGTTTGCCTAAAATTGTACTAACCTACAAAGTATATCATTGGTGCAACTTCACGTATATGTAACCATCTATCCGACCTGAGGGAAAGAAATTCGAAGAAATATTACTTTTGGTTTGTGCGGCTTAACGCAGTCCTAATTACTCTTTGCCACACAGATGTTCCTATTTAATAGAGTAACATATCTCCGCTTGCCAAACGCGCAAAACGCTCGTTGGGTCGCGAATGTTTCCAAATTATATTGTCAAACAATTCCACAATATAATGTTTACTAAACTAATGACACTACTTGGTATAAGTTTTGTGGGCACTTACACTTGTCATCTGTTGACTCTTGACTATTTGTTGACACCATTGATAACCTTTTCTTCCGCTCTTGTAGCAGCAATTCTGAAAAAAGCAACACATTAACATTAACAATAGCTGGCAAAGTAGCAGCTCTGAATTACAAGGGAACAATAACGCACCAAAGTAGCGCCATGTTTATCCATTGTTTTGCTGCAATTTCCTTCCCAATTTAAACTCGTAAAAAAGTCGATGTCTTTTCATATTACATAAGTTCCTAATTTACTATCTGCTATTATTTTTAACCGACTTCAAAAAAAGGAAGAGGTTCTCAATTCGACTGTATGTTTTTTTTTATGTATGTTACGCGATAACTCCGGAATTTGTGAACTGATTTTGATGATTCTTTTTTTTATTGGAAAGAGAGTACCTCAGGGAGGTCCCATTAAAATTTAAAGAAAACCACCTCTACGGGTGGCAAACTAATAGACGAATGACTTTTGAGGCCGGTTTTTTTGGTACTCTGTACTGATTATACGGACATGTATTCGTGATTGAAGATCTCCGTAGGAAAACTTCTTGGGTCCTTCACGAGAATGTCAGCAAATAAATGAGGACTTGAAGTAGGTTGTGAAAGTGCTGCCATCAAACCTATTTCAGCTGTCAAGAAGTAATATAAGCATTACTGCGGTCCAGTTTGGAAGTTTAAGGGTGCTGGTGAATCTACAGGCACATGGGATTTATCAACTTAATGTGGCAGGGTGACGGGCGCATTGACGGTGCCCGCAGATCTTTGCGTTTTAAAGCTCTGATTGACACTGCCACTGTTGTGGGTAGGCGTGTCATTTATCACCGTGCGAACAAATGCGTCTCATAAAAAATATTCAGTATATTACACATTAGCTTCAGTGTCACAAAAGAACAAACATTTTGTGAAACATCTGTTTTTATTATCTAAATAACAAGAAACAATGTCAGTGAACTTATGCATCTGTATTGTATTCAACATTATTTGGTAAGAACAGTCTTACTACCGCCGATTCAAGAGCAATAAACATAATACAAATTGTTTCTGTTGAACCCTATCTTACGAACAATCTCTTTGTCTGGACTAAAGGCAGTGAATTCTAGGTGTCTCTTTTGTATAACAAATCTTTTGTATCTCTACAATCTTAATTCCCGCGTTACCCACACCTTTCAGCATTATTTTTGAATCTAACGTAACTCAATGAACTTACAATAAGAATTTATTAACAATAAGAAAGTATTTACTTCGATTTTAAGTTAATCAATCAAAATGTTTGTTTCCCTGTCAATCACACATGAGGTGAGGTGAGGCCTTAATCTTCATGGCTGTATACTGAAATCAAATTATGTTAATGAATGAAATGAATGAAGCGAATGAAACGAATGCAACGAATGAAACGACCGAAACGACCGAAACGACCGAAACGACCGAAACGACCGAAACAACCGAAACGACCGAAACGACCGAAACGACCGAAACGACCGAAACGACTGAAACGAATGAAACGAATGAAATGAATGAAATATTCTTTATTACACATAAAATTACAGTAAAAATACAATACAATAACTTGAGATAATAACAGTGGTAAGTTAATGTGCAACAGGTGGCGTTATTGCTATGTAACAATTTCTTCCAGGAAAGCTTAGACATTGGGATATGCAAAAAAGATGCAACCAAAGAATGTCATCATAAATACACTACATAATAAGTAATAATAAAAATGTCTACGTAGATAGATATATACCTACATACAAATAATATACATAAATATACCATACACAAATAATAGTATTAAATACATGTATACTATATAAATAGCAAAACAACAATATTAATACCGACAGTTGTTAGCACTATCTTAGTTAATTAAAAAAGTCCCGGATAAGCACGACTTATTCGGGTGGTAAGCGACACGCCTATCCCTGACAGCGACAGTACCGCTCAGATGTGAAAATCTGATAGCTTAGACTATTTCCTTCATTTTTTTTCTATCCTCTAAGCCTGATAGGTACTGCCGCTGCGCCTGTCAATCTAAGACATAAATTGATAAATCCCATGTGCGTTTAATTTCACCAGAACTTTCAAAACCGGAACAAATTAATGCTCACATTACCGCTTGGAAGCAGAAATAGGCAATGTTACAGTACTTCCTTGGATGAACTCTTTCACAAGGAGCTCTACCGCTACTAAAATACATAGAAATATTTATTACGTATGATTTAGTTACATCATACCATACCAATTATAGTACTAAACCACCAGCAATTTGTTTTATTCTCCATTGTGCTGTAAAAAGACAAGCTATTATTTTTAAACCATTGCATTGATGAACAAAGACTGTTTGCAGTAATATAAACTGGCCGATGTAGTACAAAGAGTAACCAGCGTAACTTAGAGACCGCACCTATGCCTGTTGTTAACATAGGTATATGATAATGATATACTGATAAACGATCCACGAAAACAATACGCATATCAGCAATTGAGATTACCACAAATTATGTGACCAATTGACGTTTTGGTTTGAGAATTCTAGTGAATTCAATAAAAATAAAAGGCTTTAAAAAATCAAGATACTATTTTTAGAAGCAAAAGCGCACCTACACGAGCTAGAAGTTATTTTAATTTGAATACGCCATGTGCTACTACTAGGACACTACTTGAAAATCAAAGTCAATTAATCTTTATTACATAGGTGAGCAATTCCACTTGAAATAGTCTTATTGATTAAACTCTACTGGTCATTCGTAAGACAGATGCCCGTGAGAAGAATGAGCAAGAAATTCAAGGGATAGCTCTTTGTATATAAACATTTGTACACCTTTATCGAAATAATCTGCAATATCTTTTTTTAATAGATTTTTATCCACTGAAGACGCAAAAGCTGTATAAAATCCTTTAGTATCAAATTTTTACTTCACTACAGTTTTAAACCTCGTAAATGACAAATGAATTCAAATCAACAGAAGCGTATAGATTGCACCTTAAATGAATTTGTGACTATCAAAAACAGCCAGTTTTATTATTCCCCGTGTGAAAGTTAGGTCGTATAAAATAGGATATTGACACTTCTTAATAAAGGCATACAGGATCATTCGAAATTTAACGTATTAATATCGCAAAAAAGTTTTAAATAACGTTAACGAAAACGTAACACAACGTAAAAACTGCTTTTCAAGTAATACAAATATATACCGTTTGCTATGAAATAAATGTGCTCCTTATGACAAAGTCTACTATTACAATAGACACTAATTGTGTTATGCTACTTGATATGTACGAGATTGCGAAGTTGTTAAAACTTACTCGACAGAACACTAACATCTGACTCATTTATTGATGCATAGTTGATTCATTCTTTCGTTCCATAGAAGATTGTGGCTCCTTTTTCTTACATTGAGAAAAATACAATTTTCTCCAACAGTGGCTTTTATATTTATAAAAGCAATAGGTATGTACCTTGGTACCATGAAATACAATTCTGGTATCATGCTTCAACAATACTTATTATTTTTATTGTTATTTCATTTTATAGTGTTCTCATCTTCATTTCTAACATGTTTTACTGTATTGTTTCTAGAAATATCCCATTGTTATTGTTATAACTCAGGATTGTAATGCAATACTCGCTACATTTCTTTTTTACCAGACAATGACATCATTAGCCCCTGGGGGTGTTACCCAAAACGCCCAGACCAAAGTTAATGTGAAAAACACACTGCCACTGCGCCTGTCACCCTGAGACATAAGTTGACCCGTCTCATGTGCCTATAATTTCACCAGCACCCTTACCCTTCAAAACCGGAACGAAATAATGGGGACAGTGATCACATTACTGCTTGGCGGCAGAAATAGGCAAGGTGGTACTTCCCCGGACGAACTACTTCGCAGGTAGTCCTGCTGCAACGAAAATGATGCTGCCGTGAATCAAATGCGAGGCCTTGTCACCTAATGCCGTGGTTAATCGTTGAATTTTCGATACTGTCAATATTATAACAACAGCTTATGCTTCATGAAAGTAAACGGCATAATAACCGACAAATTGTTGATAACCTATGATACAAACACGGACGTCTCCGTCTGGCACAGCTAGTTATAGCTGAGCATTGTACAATTGCATCAAAATTGCTACAACTCACGTGTGTGTGCGTTGTTAGGTTATAATTGCAAGTTTTCTATGCTACCTCTACCGTAATAATCTTTGTCAATGCAATATGGTAAACAATTGTCACAACTTTTGTCCCTACTCATTTTCGTAGTTTTCTTCTTTCTTTGTGTTCTTAACAGAATTTTAAGGTTCACCCTATCCTTCCGTGGGTGTTGTAGAAGACGTATAACAGGTCGCACGTTGTAACTTTTTGTGATTACTATATACTATAATAGGATATAATGCGGGCAATATCTGCTTTTAGGCTGAAATTTGTAAAACGCACTTTAGCAAATATGGCGAGTAAAGCAAGTTTTTCGTATTTACAACTTTGCCTCCGTTTACGCAAGAAATCAATTTCAACTTTGAGTTTACTTCTAACGATATAGTCATTTTGATATGTAGTCGTTTTACTATTAAGTAATTGCAAGTATATAGTCTTTCTGCGTAGGTAGTCATATTGTGATCTAATCCTTATGCTGATCAGGGTAATTTTGAAGATAAAATATAGTCTTTATGATACCGACCCGTGATTTCTTCCTTAAACTTAGGCTGCTAACAGATTGAGTACATGTTTGCATTTGATGCGACTTCAATCAGCGACAAGTAGGCTGCATGAAGTTGATAACGACTTCACATATTAACTGCATGCAGTTTAAACCGACTTCATGCAGCCGAGATCAACTGCATGCAATTAATGCGCGAAGAACTTTTACGACTTCACGCATTAACTGCAAACATGCAGTCAATCTGTTAGCAGCCTTAGGCAAGTTCGTTTTGTAAAAAAAACTTGCTTAGCTCGTCATTTTTCGCTTAGTCAAAATCAAAGTTCGTTTTATAAATCTTAGGCTTAGAGAGGTAGTATTACATACTATAAGTCTCTAAAAACGTTACTATGGCAATTGATTAAATAACCGCGTAACTTTA